TAGATGAAGTCCAAATGACTATGACATCCTGACATTTAAAACATACTCAACGTTAGAAATGTCACTACTCACTACTATAAACGTTGTATTTTCACATCCCCAAAATGTCTACTATTTAGAAGGTGTTTAGAAGGCAGTATGGGTATTCAGACAGGGCCTGAGTGTTTAGAAGGCGTAGGTATTTAGGGGTAGTGTTAAGGCAGTAATGGGGTTATTCAACGGGGCTGAGTGTTTAGAAGGCAGTATGGGTATTCAGACAGGGCCTGAGTGTTTAGAAGGCAGTATGGGTATTCAGACAGTATGGTTTCAGCAGGCCTGAGTGTTTAGAAGGCAGTATGGGTATTCAGACAGGGCCTGAGTGTTTAGAAAGGCAGTATGGGTATTCAGACATGGGCCTGAGTGTTTTAGAAGGCAGTATGGGTATTCAGACAGGGGCCTGAGTGTTTTAGAAGGCAGTATGGGTATTCAGACAGGACCGGTGTGTTTAGAAGGCAGTATGGGTATTCAGAAGGCAGTATGGGTATTCAGACAGGGCCTGAGTGTTTAGAAGGCAGTATGGGTATTCAGACAGGGCCTGAGTGTTTAGAAGGCAGTATGGGTATTCAGACAGGGCCTGAGTGTTTAGAAGGCAGTATGGGTATTCAGACAGGGCCTGAGTGTTTAGAAGGCAGTATGGGTATTCAGACAGGGCCTGAGTGTTTAGAAGGCAGTATGGGTATTCAGACAGGGGCGCTGAGGGGTTTAGTAAGGCAGTATGGGTATTCAGACAGGGCCGTGAGTGTTTCGAAGGCAGTATGGTATTCAGACAGGGCCTGAGTTGTTAGAAGGCAGTATGGGTAATTCAGACAGGGCCTGAGTGTTTAGAAGCATATGGGTATTCAGACAGGGGCCTGAGTGTTTAGAAGGCATATGGTTTTTAAAAGGGCCGGGGGTTTTGAAGGGGTATGGTATTCAACGGCCTGAGTGTTTGAAGGCGTTGGGTATTCAGACAGGGCCTGAGTTTTAAAGGCAGTAGGGGATTCAACAGGGCCTGAGTGTTTTGAAGGCATAGGGGTTTCAGACAGGACCCGGGGTGTTTAGAAGGCATATGGGGATTCAGCAGGACCGGTGTTTCCCACCTCTGGTGGGGGGCTCCTGGTCATTCTTCCATGACGCGTCGAGCCTTTTCAACCCTGAACATTAACACACCAAACTCAGCTTCAATACAGAGACTAAGTATGAAAATGATATGTTGTGGGTGACTGACTGGAGGATGTACCGGTTAGTCAGTGTGTGCTGCTGTAGTAGGCTTGGTCAGTGAGGGATGTACAGGGTGTAGTTCAGTGTGGTGACTGACTGTATTAGCTTGTCAGTGGGATGTACCGGGGTAGTCAGTGGTGTGACTGAACTGTATTAGCTGGTCAGTGAGGATGTACAGGGTGTAGTCCAGTGTGTGACTGACTGTAGTAGCTGCTCTGTTGATATGTACCAGGGTGTAGTCAGTGTGTGACTGACTGTAGTAGCTGGTCCGTGAGGATGTACAGGGTGTAGTCCTTGGTGGACTGACTGTAGTAGCTGGTCAGTGAGGATGTACAGTGTGTAGTTCAGTGTGTGACTGAGGTAGTAGCTGGTCAGTGAAGGAATTACAGGGTGTGTCCAGTGGTGAAGACTGCCTGTAGTAGCTGGTCATGTGATGTACAGGGTTGGGGTAAGTCAAAGTGTGTGACTGACTGTATCGCTGGTCAGAGTGAGGATGTACGGGTGTATTCAGTGTGTGACTGACCGTCGTAGCTGCTCTGTGAGGATGTACAGGGTGTAGTCAGTGTGTGACTGACTGTAGTAGCTGGTCAGTGAGGAATGTACCGGGTGTAGTCCAGTGTGTGACTGACTGTAGTAGCTGTCAGTGAGGATGTACAGGGTGTAGTCAGCTGTGGTGACTGATGTAGTAGCTGGTCATGAGGATGTCCAGGGTGTAGTCCAGTGTGTGACTGACCGTAGTAGCTGTCAGTGAGGATGTACAGGGTGTAGTCATGTGTGACTGACTGTAGTAGCTGGTCAGTGAGGATGTACCAGGGTGGTAGTCAGTGTGGACTGACTGTATTAGCTGGTCATTGAGGAGTACATGGTGGTAGTCAGTGTGTGACTGACTGTAGTAGGCTGGTCATGAGGATGTACAGGTTGTAGTCAGTGTGTGACTGACGTAGTAAGCCTGGTCATTGAGGATTGTACAGGGTGTAGTCCGTGTGGTGACTAGACTGTAAAGTAGCTGGTCAGTGAGGGATGTAATACAGGGTGTAGTCAGTGGTGTTGACTACTTAGTATGGTCCGTGAGATGTACAGGTGTAGTCGTGGGTGGTGACTGACTGTAGTAGCTGGTCAGTGAGGAGTGTTACGGTGTATTTCAGTGGTGTGAACTGACTGTAGTAGCTGGTCAGTGAGATGTACACAGGTGTAGTCAGTTGTGTGACTGATGTAGTACGGGTCATGATGATGTACAGGTGTAGTCAGTGTGTGACTGCTGTAGTAGCTTGGTCAGTGAGGAATTACATGGTGTAGTCATTGTGTGACTTACTGTATGCTGGTCAGTGAGGTGTACAGGGTGTAGTCCAGTGGTGACTGACTGTAGTAGCTGGTCAGATGAGGATTACAGGGTGTAGTCATTTGACTGACTGTAGTAGCTGGTCAGTGAGGATGTTCAGGGTGTAGTCCGTGTTGACTGATCTGTAATAACCTTGTCATGAGGATGTACAGGGTGTAGTCAGTGTGTGACTGACTGTATAAAAGCTTGGTCAGTGCGGATGTTCAGGGTGTAGTCATTGGGTGACGACTGTATTAGCTGGTCAGGAGGATGTACAAGGGTGTAGTCCAGTGTGTGGACTGACTGTAGTAGCTGGTCAGTGAGGATGTACAGGGTTGTAGTCAGTGTGTGACTGACCGTCGTAGCTGCTCTGTGGAGGATGTACAGGGTGTAGCGTGTGTGATGACGGTAGTAGCTGGCATTGAGGATGTACAGGGTGTAGTCAGTGGTGTGATGACTGTAGTAGCTGGTCAGTGCGGATGTACAGGGTGTAGTCCGTGTGGACGACTGTATAGCTGGTCAGTGAGGATGTACAAGTGGTGTATCAGTGTGTGACTGACTGTAGTAGCTGGTCAGTGAGGATGTACAGGGTGTAGTCAGTGTGTGACTGACCGTCGTAGCTGGTCAGTGAGGATGTACAGGGTGTAGTCAGTGTGTAGCTGACCGTCGTAGCTGGTCAGTGAGGATGTACAGGGTGTAGTCAGTGTGTGACTGACTGTAGTAGCTGGTCAGTGAGGATGTACAGGGTGTAGTCAGTGTGTGACTGACTGTAGTAGCTGTCAGTGAGAATGTACGGGTGTAGTCAGTGTGTGATGACTGTTAGTAGCTGGTCAGTGAGGTGTAAAGGTGTAGTTCATTGTTTGACTACTGTGTAGCTGGTCAGTGAGAGTGTACAGGGTTTAGTAGTGTGTGGACTGACTGTAGGAGCTGTTCATGAGGATGTACAGGGTGTAAGTCGTGTGTGACGACTGTAGAAGCTGGTCAGTGGGATGTACAGGGTGTAGTCATGTGGTGACTGCTGTAGTAGCTGTGTGAGGATGACCGGGTTCGTCAGTGTGTGACTGACTGAGTAGCTGTCAGTGAGGATGTACAGGGTGTAGTCAGTGTGTGACTGACGTAGTAGCGGTCAGTGAGGAGTACAGGGTTAGTAGTTGTGTGACTGACTGTAGTGCTGGTCAGTGAGGATGTAAAGGGTGTAGTCAGTTGTGAACTGACTGTATAGCTGGTCCCGTGATGATTACAAGGGTGTAGTCAGTGTGTGACTGACTGACTGTAGTAGCTGGTCGTGAGATGTACAGGGGTTGTAGTCTGTGTTGGACTGACTGTAGTAGCTGTCTGTGGAAGGGAATGTCAGGGTTGTCATTGTGTGACTGACTGTAGTAAGCTGGTCAGTGAGGATGTACAGGGTGTAGTCAGTGTGTGACGGACCCGTCGTAGCTTGCTCTGTGAGGATGTCCAGGGTGTAGTCAGTGAGAGACGGGGCGTAGAACATGGAATCTGCACTTCACTCCTCTCCTGTGTGTCACTCTCTGAGTTAAACCTCAACCCATAGAAAGGGACTGGAGACTGGCCCCACACACCTCAATACCTTGAGGAGAGATTAGATATATTATAGAGAGATAGAATTAGAGGAGAGATAGATCCGAGAGATGAAAATTAGATAGAGAGATATCTAGCTATATATAGACGAGAGATCGAGCTCATATCTCCCCTATATTCTATCCAGCCATCTCTCTCTCTATCTCGCTTCTCTCTCTCTTTCTACTGCCAGGTCTCATCTTCCACCTTTCTATCTCTCTCTCTTCTTCTCTCTCCTCTCTCATTCCTCTCTCTCTCTCTCGCTCTCTTCTTCTCTCTCTCTCTCTCTCTTCCCCTCCTTCTCTCTATCTATCTCTTCTCTCTCTCTCTCTCTCCTCTCTTTCTCTCTCTTCTCTCTCTCTCTCTTCTCTCTCTCGCTTCTCTTCTGAAAAAAGTGATAGAGACCGAGAGACCAATGAGAGAGAGAGCAGAGAACAACCCGTCTCTCGTCTCTCTTCCCTTCTCTCGCTCCTCTCTCTTCCCCTTCTCCTCTCTCTTCCCCTTTCTGCTCTCTCTCTTAAAGCTTCTCTCTCTATCTCTATCTCTCCGCACCTTCGCCCTTCTCTCTCCCTCTCTCCCCTTCGCTCTCTCTCTCTTCTCTCCCTCTCCCCGTCTCTCTCTCCCTCGTCTCTCCTCTCCCCCCTCTCTCTCTCGTTTTCTCCTCCTTCCCTTCTCTCCTCTCCTTCTCTCTTTTCCCCTCGTCTCTCTCCCTCTCTCTTTCCGTCTCTCCTCTCTCTCTCTCTCTCTCTCTCTCTCTCTCTCTTTCGCTCTCTCTCTCCTCTTCTCTCGCTCTCTCTCTCTCATCTCTCGCCTCTCTCTCTCTCCTCTCGGACGCCCCTCTTCCTCCCCTCCCTTCCCTGCTCCATTAATTCTGAGGACTCCTTCCCCCGTCTTCTACGCCCCTCCTACTTGCCCACTCTGCCAGCCTATCCGAGTTGAAGATGACTCTTTCCCCGTCCTTCCGAGGGGCGTGTCCTTCAATGACTGTAGTAGCTGGTCAGTGAGGATGTACAGGGTGTAGTCAGTGTGTGACTGACTGTAGTAGCTGGTCAGTGAGGATGTACAGGGTGTAGTCAGTGTGTGACTGACTGTAGTAGCTGGTCAGTGAGGATGTACAGGGTGTAGTCAGTGTGTGACTGACCGTCAGTAGCTGTCAGTGAGGATGTACAGGGTGTAGTCAGTGAGAGACGGGGCGTAGAACGGAATCTAGCTGCACGTTTGGATGTCACCTGAGTAAATCAGTAGAAGGAGACTGAGCGGGCCCGTCAAGAGATGAGAGGAGAGAGAGCTAGTATCTTCTTAGACCTGAGTAGAACGCCCCAGGACGTGGCTGAGAGACCGATGCCTCCAACTCAGAAAACCTCAGCGACTCAGCTCGATGACAGCACTGATTAACGCACAATCGAGACGTGGAGCGTTCCACACTCAATAGCGCGTGAGTAGAGACGGAGGATAAGTAAGAGGAGACTGAGCCCAGAGGAGCAGAGACTCGATAAGAGCGACTGCTCGTATTACGATAAATCTCCTCAGGATACATGCGAGACCAGCACGAATAGGAGAAGAGATCCCGCGCATCGTATGTATCGAGACGAGCAAGGAGAGCGGACGAAATGGAGCAGATCGATCAGTACAAGAAGAGAGCGAACCTCTCTCACTACGAGCTCTCGACTCGAAGGTAGACGACCTCCATATACTCACCGATCCAGCCTTAGACTGCCTACTCTATAGAACCAGAATACGACAAGAAAGAGCGAGAGGAAGATTACCAAAAGGATAGCATACAAGAGAGGAAAAACCTCCATAAAGCTCCAGTATTCGTGAGGACTCCTCCCCCAGTCCTCTAAGTCACTCCTAACCTTGGCGCAACAGGCCAAGCCTATCAGAGTTGAAGATGACGCTGTCGTCCTTCAGAGGGGGCGTGTCCTTCAATGACTGTATGATCACTGTAGAGGAAACAGTCACCAAGAGGGGTTAGGGTGTAGTGTGTATGGCTTCAGGGGGGTCCATTTTCTGCCCGTTTTACCTTTATTTAACGAGGCAAGTCAGTTAAGAACAAATTCTTATTTCCAATGACGGCCTACCCCGGCCAAACCCGCCCTGTGGGACCCCATTCCAATAACACAACCTTAAAAATCGGTCAATTTAGATTTTTCCTACAACAAATAACCTTAAATTCATTACATTTTCATCTCTTTGATCAAAATCCAGAAAACCAACTGTTAATGTTTTGTTTCCCCCCCCATTAGGGGTTGCGATCCATACTTTCAATACCACTGGTGTAGTGTGTAAGGTGGGGTGGGTCAACTACGGCTCGTGGGCCGGATCCAGCCAATGATGTATTTCAACCCTGGATTGCTGATTCTATGTATTGGCCAATGAGAGGCTTTGATGCCACCGGTCGGCCATATTGGCCCTCCCCAGTAGGAGCAGGTATCCATATTGGCCCTCCCCAGTAGGAGCAGGTATCCATATTGGCCCTCCCCAGTAGGAGCAGGTATCCATATTGGCCCTCCCCAGTAGGAGCAGGTATCCATATTGGCCCTCCCCAGTAGGAGCAGGTATCCATATTGGCCCTCCCCAGTAGGAGCAGGTATCCATATGGGCCCTCCCCCAGTAGGAGCAGGTATCCATATTGGCCCTCCCCAGTAGGAGCAGGTATCCATATTGGCCCTCCCCAGTAGGAGCAGGTATCCATATTGGGCCCTCCCCAGTAGGAGCAGGTATCCATATTGGCCCTCCCCAGTAGGAGCAGGTATCCATATTGGCCCTCCCCAGTAGGAGCAGGTATCCATATTGGCCCTCCCCAGTAGGAGCAGGTATCCATATTGGCCCTCCCCAGTAGGAGCAGGTATCCATATTGGCCCTCCCCAGTAGGAGCAGGTATCCATATTGGCCCTCCCCAGTAGGAGCAGGTATCCATATTGGCCCTCCCCAGTAGGAGCAGGTATCCATATTGGCCCTCCCCAGTAGGAGCAGGTATCCATATTGGCCCTCCCCAGTAGGAGCAGGTATCCATATTGGCCCTCCCCAGTAGGAGCAGGTATCCATATTGGCCCTCCCCAGTAGGAGCAGGTATCCATATTGGCCCTCCCCAGTAGGAGCAGGTATCCATATTGGCCCTCCCCAGTAGGAGCAGGTATCCATATTGGCCCTCCTCAGTAGGAGCAGGTATCCATATTGGCCCTCCCCAGTAGGAGCAGGTATCCATATTGGCCCTCCCAGTAGGAGCAGGTATCCATATTGGCCCTCCCCAGTAGGAGCAGGTATCCATATTGGCCCTCCCCAGTAGGAGCAGATATCCATATTGGCCCTCCCCAGTAGGAGCAGGTATCCATATTGGCCCTCCCCAGTAGGAGCAGGTATCCATATTGGCCCTCCCCAGTAGGAGCAGGTATCCATATTGGCCCTCCCCAGTAGGAGCAGGTATCCATCTTGGCCCTCCCCAGTAGGAGCAGGTATCCATCTTGGCCCTCCCCAGTAGGAGCAGGTATCCATCTTGGCCCTCCCCAGTAGGAGCAGGTATCCATATTGGCCCTCCCCAGTAGGAGCAGGTATCCATATTGGCCCTCCCCAGTAGGAGCAGGTATCCATATTGGCCCTCCCCAGTAGGAGCAGGTCTCCATAGGAATGAATGGAATTCTACAGTTTTTCAATTAAATGTTTCAAGGACAAGATCACATGTATTTAATTACTTTGTTGTTGTAGTGGGGACAGTAAATTTAGAATTATAAAAAAAGGAAACTGTTTTTATATAAATATATATTTAGCTCACATAATATAATTTAAAAGTATTGCACTAAAGCTGCAATATGTAACAAATAACTCCCACCTTTTCTGGCCCACAAATTGATTTTGACAAACAAATCGGTCCCCAAAAAAAGATGTGCGGCCCTCCGTTGAATATTGAAATCCCGATGTGGAGGTGTAGTGTTGGATGATACCGGTGACTGATCCTAGGTGTAGTGTGGAGGGACTAACCCAGCTGTTTGGGATGATACTGGTGACTGATCCTAGGTGTAGTGTGGAGGGACTAACCCAGCTGTTGGGATGATACTGGTGACTGATCCTAGGTGTAGTGTGGAGGGACTAACCCAGCTGTTGGATGATACTGGTGACTGATCCTAGGTGTAGTGTGGAGGGACTAACCCAGCTGTTGGATGATACTGGTGACTGATCCTAGGTGTAGTGTGGAGGGACTAACCCAGCTGTTGGGATGATACTGGTGACTGATCCTAGGTGTAGTGTGGAGGGACTAACCCAGCTGTTGGATGATACAGGTGACTGATCCTAGGTGTAGTGCTGGAGGACTACCCATTGGTTGGATGATACTGGTGACTGATCCCTTAGTGTAGTGTGGAGGGACTAACCCAGCTGTTGGGATGATACTGGTGACTGATCCTAGGTGTAGTGTGGAGGGATGATACTGGTGACTGATCCTAGGTGTAGTGTGGAGGGATGATACTGGTGACTGATCCTAGGTGTAGTGTGGAGGGGACTAACCCAGCTGTTGGATGATACTGGTACTGATCCTAGGTGTAGTGTGGAGGGGACTAACCCAGCTGTTGGGATGATACTGGTGACTGATCCTAGGGGCAGTGTGGAGGGATGATACTGGTGACTGATCCTAGGTGTAGTGTGGAGGGACTAACCCAGCTGTTGGATGATACTGGTGACTGATCCTAGGTGCAGTGTGGAGGGATGATACTGGTGACTGATCCTAGGTGTAGTGTGGAGGGACTAACCCAGCTGTTGGGATGATACTGGTGACTGATCCTAGGTGTAAGTGTGGAGGGACTAACCCAGCTGTTGGATGATACTGGTGACTGATCCTAGGTGTAGTGTGGAGGGACTAACCCAGCTGTTGGATGATACTGGTGACTGATCCTAGGTGTAGTGTGGAGGGACTAACCCAGCTGTTGGATGATACTGGTGACTGATCCTAGTTGTAGTGTGGAGGGACTAACCCAGCTGTTGGGATGATACTGGTGACTGAACCTAGGTGTAGTGTGGAGGGACTAACCCAGCTGTGGATGATACGGTGACTGATCCTAGTGTAGTGGAGGGACTAACCCAGCTGTTGGATGATACTGGTGACTGATCCTAGGTGTAGTGTGAGGGACTAACCCAGCTGTTGGATGATACTGGTGACTGATCCTAGGTGTAGTGTGGAGGGACTAACCCAGCTGTTGGGATGATACTGGTGACTGATCCTAGGTGTAGTGTGGAGGGACTAACCCAGCTGTTGGATGATACTGGTGACTGATCCTAGTGTAGTGTGGAGGGACTAACCCAGCGTTTGGATGATACTGGTGACTGATCCTAGGTGAGTGTGGAGGGACTAACCCAGCTGTTGGATGATACTGGTGACTGATCCTAGGTGTAGTGTGGAGGGACTAACCCAGCTGTTGGATGATACTGGTGACTGATCCTAGGTGTAGTGTGGAGGACTAACCCAGCTGTTGGATGATACTTGGTGACTGATCCTAGGTGTAGTGTGGAGGGACTAACCCAGCTGTTGGATGATACTGTTGACTGATCCTAGGGGCAGTGTGGAGGGACTAACCCAGCTGTTGGATGATACTGGTGACTGATCCTAGGTGTAGTGTGGAGGGACTAACCCAGCTGTTGGGATGATACTGGTGACTGATCCTAGGTGTAGTGTGGAGGGACTAACCCAGCTGTTGGATGATACTGGTGACTGATCCTAGGTGTAGTGTGGGGACTAACCCAGCTGTTGGGATGATACTGGTGACTGATCCTAGGTGTAGTGTGGAGGGACTAACCCAGCTTTTTGGATGATACTGGTGACTGATCCTAGGGTGTAGTGTGGGAGGGACTAACCCAGCTGTTGGATGATACTGGTGACTGATCCTAGGTGTAGTGTGGGAGGGACTAACCCAGCTGTTGGATGATACTGGTGATGATCCTAGGTGTAGTGTGGAGGGACTAACCCAGCTGTTGGATGATACTGGTGACTGATCTAGGTGTAGTGTGGAGGGACTAACCCAGCTGTTGGATGATACTGGTGACTGATCCTAGGTGTAGTGTGGAGGGACTAACCCAGCTGTTGGATGATACTGGTCACTGATCCTAGGTGTAGTGTGGAGGGACTAACCCAGCTGTTGGATGATACTGGTGACTGATCCTAGGTGTAGTGTGGAGGGACTAACCCAGCTGTTGGATGATACTGGTGACTGATCCTAGGTGTAGTGTGGAGGGACTAACCCAGCTGTTGGATGATACTGGTGACTGATCCTAGGTGTAGTGTGGAGGGACTAACCCAGCTGTTGGGATGATACTGGTGACTGATCCTAGGTGTAGTGTGGAGGGATGATACTGGTGACTGATCCTAGGTGTAGTGTGGAGGGACTAGCTGTTGGATGATACCGGTGACTGATCCTAGGTGTAGTGTGGAGGGACTAACCCAGCTGTTGGATGATACTGGTGACTGATCCTAGGTGTAGTGTGGAGGGACTAACCCAGCTGTTGGGATGATACTGGTGACTGATCCTAGGTGTAGTGTGGAGGGACTAACCCAGCTGTTGGATGATACTGGTGACTGATCCTAGGTGTAGTGTGGAGGGACTAACCCAGCTGTTGGATGATACCGGTGACTGATCCTAGGTGTAGTGTGGAGGGACTAACCAGCTGTTTGGATGATACTGGTGACTGATCCTAGGTGTAGTGTGGAGGGACTAACCCAGCTGTTGGATGATACTGGTGACTGATCCTAGGTGTAGTGTGGAGGGACTAACCCAGCTGTTGGATGATACTGGTGACTGATCCTAGGGGTTAGTGTGGAGGGACTAACCCAGGCTGTTGATGATACTGGTGACTGATCCTAGGTGTAGTGTGGGAGGGACTAAACCCAGCTGTTGGATGATACTGGTTGACTGATCCTAGGTGTAGTGTGGGAGGGGACTAACCCAGCTGTTTGGATGATACTGGTGACTATCTAGGTGTCGTGTGGAGGGGACTAACCCATCTGTTGGATGATACTGTGACTGATCCTAGGTGTAGTGTGGAGGGACTAAACCAGCTGTTGGATGATACTGGTGACTGATCCTAGGTGTTAGTGTGGAGGGACTAACCCAGCTGTTGGGATGATACTGGTGACTGATCCTAGTGTAGTGTGGAGGGACTAACCCCACTGGTTTGTATGATACTGGTGACTGATCCTAGGTTGTAGTGTGGAGGGACTAACCAGCTGTTGGATGATACTGGTGACTGATCCTAGGTGTAGTGTGGAGGGACTAACACCCAGCTGTTGGATGATACTGGTGACTGATCCTAGGGTGTAGGTGGAGGGACTAACCCAGCTGTTGGATGATACCGGTGACTGATCTAGGTGTAGTGTGGAGGGACTAACCCAGCTGTTGGATGATACTGGTGACTGATCCTAGGTTGTAGTGTGGAGGGACTAACCCAGCTGTTGGATGATACTGGGGACTGATCCTAGGTGTAGTGGTGGAGGGACTAACCCAGCTGTTGGATGATACTGGTGACTGATCCTAGGTGTAGTGTGGGAGGGACTAACCCAGCTGTTGGATGATACTGGTGACTGATCCTAGGTGTAGTGTGGAGGGACTAACCCAGCTGTTGGGATGATACTGGTGACTGATCCTAGGGGCAGTGTGGAGGGACTAACCCAGCTGTTGGATGATACTGGTGACTGATCCTAGGTGTAGTGTGGAGGGACTAACCCAGCTGTTGGATGATACTGGTGACTGATCCTAGGGGCAGTATCTCCGCCTCCTCTGGTAGAACCACCGTCAACTCCTCTACAGCAGGCAACTCCTACACACACACACAAAATAGTTCAGCAAATTTGTCAATGTGAATACGGTGCTAATTTTATTTTTATTCACATGAAGTTCTGAATTCCCAGAGTAGAGGGCTGGGGTTAGAGAGGTCAGGAGTACCTCAGGCAGGGTCTCGCCCAGTGTTCTGATGGAACAGGGTTTCCTTGCCCGACTGAAGCCTTCATCATCATCTTCCTCATCATCTGCCTGACCTGACACAACAGCCAGCGTCACACAGGAGGAAGAGGAGTCTGAGTCACTGTCTGAGGAGGTGCTGCTGCCGTCCCGCTGGTCCCTGGCACACACCCCGTCCTGGGGGAGGTCCTGGGGGAGGTCCTCCCCGTCCTGGGGGGGGTCCTGGGGGGGGTCCTGGGGGAGGTCCTGGGGGGGGGTCCTCCCCGTCCTGGGGGAGGTCCTGGGGGGGGTCCTCCCCGTCCTGGGGGAGGTCCTGGGGGAGGTCCTGGGGGGGGTCCTCCCCGTCCTGGGGGAGGTCCTGGGGGGGGTCCTGGGGGAGGGGGGTGTGTCCGTCTCCCAGCTCGGAGCTCCAGACAGAGTTGAGATTCTCCGTAACCTCCATCTCCTCTGCTCCTCCCGTTAACTCTCCCGGTAAGCGGCTGTCTGGGGTCACGGAGGTCAGTCCCTGAGGTTCTGTCTCAGCTGTGCATCTGTCCTCCCGGTGCTCGGTGCTGGTAGCGTTGTTAGGTTCCGGTTCCTCTCCGTGTGTCTCTGCTGAGCTCTGAAGAACCTCCGGTACCACGGCCGTCTCCTCTGGTTGGGCCTCCATCCCGTTACCGGGTAGAGACTATATCACACCTGGGGACAAAGACACCACAACTACAGTCAACTGGGTTACAGTCACTAGGAACCAAACGGAACAAAGCGGGAGGGACTGAATTTGTTCAATAAGAAACGCTTTGGACTAGTTTTGTTGCAAAACGTTTTATTACAGTGTGTACTAATGAATACACCCCTGGTTGCCTCGGAAACCACAGTGTAGACCCCTCAAGATGACACCTGGACCTGGATACCTCACAGACCAGTGGAGACCCCTCAAGATGACATCTGGACCTGGATACCTCACAGACCAGTGGAGACCCCTCAAGATGACATCTGGACCTGGATACCTCACAGACCAGTGGAGACCCCTCAAGATGACACCTGGACCTGGATACCTCACAGACCACAGTGGAGACCCCTCAAGATGACATCTGGACCTGGATACCTCACAGACCAGTGTAGCCCCCTCAAGATGACATCTGGACCTGGATACCTCACAGACCAGTGGAGACCCCTCAAGATGACATCTGGACCTGGATACCTCACAGACCACAGTGGAGACCAATCAAGATGACATCTGGACCTGGATACCTCACAGACCAGTGGAGACCCCTCAAGTTGACATCTGGACCTGGATACCAGTTCCACAGCTTTTTGTTCAACAGGGCTGTATATAGCAATTTAATGTAGGGAGGCCGTGACTGGCCTCCCACTCCATTTAAGGAATACCTGGGATAGGATAAAGCAATCCTTCTACCCCCCTTACCCCACCCCAAAAAAAGAGGAAAAAAATAAAATAACATATTGTGAAGTGGTTATCCCACTGGCTATAAGGTGAATGCACCAATGTGTAAGTCGCTCTGGATAAGAGCGTCTGCTAAATGACGTAAATGTAAATGTAGGTGGCGGTATATGCACCTTAAAAGTTGTATGCGATATGCCAACCCAATCCCAAAGAAGAACCTGTCCTGCTCTGACAGAACTAGCTGGCTACATTAGTAATTTAACTAGCTGCTGTTTGTAAAGCCGTTTCAAATACAACTGGAGGAACGGGAGCAAAGACCACCTAGCCTGAAAGGTAGCTTGCTAGCCAACAAGGTCAAAAGTGTTTTATATTGGGTATTCGGTTCTATCATCAATCGCTATTGAACCAAGCATGCCATGACTATGAAAATGGTATATTCTGAATCAGTGGAGGATGGAGAAAAATCCACACCTTTTTTTTTGGTGTGGATTGTTACCTATGAAGCTATCCACAATAATGATTAGCCACAAGTGTAATTTGCCATTCACCTTCAAAATAAAAGTCCCCCATTGAAACTGATGCAAACTGACATAATAATAATATGCCATTTAGCAGATGCTCTTATCCAAAGCGACTTACAGTCATGCGTGCATACATTTTTTTTGTGTATGGGTGGTCCCGGGGATCGAACCCACTACCTTGGCGTTACAAGCGCCGTGCTCTACCAGCTGAGCTACAGAGGACCACCATTTTCACATAAATAGAGAAATAATGCCATATTTGGCCTAGATAATAGTAAACGTCCAATATGAATGTTCAATAGGTACAACAGGCTGACTGGGCTAATGTGGCTCACACTGGTTTCAAAGTCCTGCAGTAAACGCTATGATGCTAACATTGCTTTGCTTTATCTTGGCCAGGTCGCAGTTGTAAATGAGAACTTGTTCTCAACTGGTTTACCTGGTTAAATAAAGGTGAAATAAAATAAATAAAATAAAAAATATGTGTAAACTCTTTGGAATGATAATCTGTGGATGTAACCGAGTAGGCTGATACCCCGTTTCATGGGTGTCCACTAGAGGTAAGGCTGTATAGGTCATATATGTATGCCTCCAATACAATTATACAGTCTAATACATCCACAGTGGGATTCCAACTATTTGTTTTACTGCTTGTCTAATTCATTATTGTACTTCTTTTTAATTTATGTAACAACATTCCAACCTTGTTTAGTATCATCTAGTGTAAATATGGCATATTATTCCGCTCCAGCCACGAGCCTGTCCTCCCCAATTAAGGTGGCACCAACCTCCTGTGGGTTCAGTAGCAAATTGAGGAGAGAATATCCACCGAATATGAAACTAATTTTACCTCGGTCAACTACCCTGCCCCATTTGTTATTTACAGATATTAGCTAACTTTAGAACTAGCTAGGTAACTAGTCTACTAGCCATATCTATGAAAAAAAAATACGTTTTACAATCGGAGTTCATACCACTGGAGTTAAATTCGTAGGTAGTCCACTAGCTAAAACAGTTATGTAGCTTGGTTGCTAGCTTGCTAGGCATTCTCAGAACCAGATAACGTTACTGTTAGTCAGCGTTTTAAATAATCTTTGGTAATGTATCGCCAATTCTGTATTATATCAGTGACATTACTACAATATTGCTTATCATATTACAAACGTGAAGATGGACTTACGTTAGAGTAGTTAAGGCTACAAAGCTGTTCTCTCAGCAGTCTGCTCTCTGCTACTCTCAGTCCTCTGCTGTCTATTCTCTCCGCAACCGCTAAGTTATGTTCGCAACACGTTTTGATTCGGAAACAACGTGGTCTTGTTGTCTTCCGGGTTGTGGAACCTTTCTTTCCGCCGCCCGGTGAAATGACGGACAGTGTTGTCCGACGGACGAGCAGCATCCGCCGGAGTTGTCAATACAGAACGCGTGTGTTCAACCGATGATCTAACTTCGCACATTCAACTAAAACATGGTAAAATTACACTTATGTAACATGTATCTATATTTGCATGAATATATTTAGCTAGATTTATATAACGTTATAGCGCTATTAGAACCTAGTGAATGTATACTGAACAAAAATATAAACGCAACAATTTCAACGATTTTACTGAGTTACAGTTCATATAAGGAAATCAGTCAATTGAAATAAATTCATTAGGCCCTAATCTATGGATTTCACGTTACTTTCACAAGCGCCAAGTCTAGGTCCAAAAAGCTTCTACCCCCAAGCCATAAGACTGCTGAACATCTACCGCAGATAGCCTCGTTATTTTTAACTTTAGTTTATTTAGTAAATATTTTCTTAACTCTTATTTTTCTTAACTGCATTGTTGGTTAAGGGCTTGTAAGTAAGTATTTCACTGTAAGGTCTACACCTGTTGTATTCAGCGCAGGTCGCAGTTGTAAATGAGAACTTGTTCTCAACTGGTTTACCTGGTTAAATAAAGGTTAAATAAAAAATAAATAAAAAAATGTGACAAACACATTTTAATTTGATTTGACTGGGCAGGGGCGCAGCGATGGGTGGGCCTGGGAGGGCATAGGCCCACCCATAATTAGTTTTCCCCCACAAAAGGGCTTTATTACAGACAGAAATACTCCTCAGTTCCATCAGCTGTCTGGGTGGCTGGTCTCAGATGATCCCGCAGGTGAAGAAGCCGGATGTGGAGGTCCTGGGCTGGTGTGGTGACACGTGGTCTGCGGTTATGAGGCCAAACTGCCAAATTCTCTAAAATGACGTTGGAGGCGGCTTATGGTAGATAAATGAACATTCAATTCTTAGGCAACAGCTCTGGTGGACATTCTTGCAGTCAGCATGCCAATTGCACGCTCCCTCAAAACTTGAGACATCTGTGGCATTGTGTTGTGGGACAAAACTTCAAATTTTTGTGGCCTTTTATACTCCCCAGCACAAGGTGCACGGGTGTAATGATCATGCTGTTTAATCAGCTTCTTGATATGCCACACCCGGAGAAATGCTCACTAACTGGGATGTAAACAAATTTATGCACAACATTTGAAAGAAATAAGCTTTCTTTGCGTATGGAACATTTCTGGGATCTTTTATTTCAGTTAATGAAACATGGGACCAACACTTTACATGTTGCGTTTATATTTTAGTTTAGAATAATGGAAGACAGTGTTCTAACTGTTGTGTGTCTGTATCGGTGTGTGTGTGTGTGTGTGTGTGTGTGTGTGTGTGTGTGTGTAGCCGAAGGCGGGGAAAGGTAAACCAAACCAGAAGGAGAAGGTGTGTCATCCCTATAGCAGGAAAGCTGCTTACCTGGCCAGCCAGGAGATACGCCTCGGGAAGAAGGAGAGGTAAGGAGGGAGGGAGAGGAAGTCTGCTTACCTGGCCAGCCAGGACATAAAATACCAATCAAAAGTTTGGACAGACATTCTAGGGTTTTTCTTTATTTTTACTATTTTCCACCTTGTAGAATAATAGTGAAGACATCAAAACTATGAAATAACACATTGAATCATGTAGGACAACTGTTAAACAAATCAACATATATTTTATATTTGAGATCCTTCAAAGTAGCCACCCTTTGCCTTGATGACAGCTTTGCACGCTCTTGGCATTCTCTCAACCAGCTTCATGAGGAATGCTTTTCCAACAGTCTTGAAGGAGTTCCCACATATGCTGAGCACTTGTTGGCTGCTTTTCCTTCACTCTGCGGTCCGACTCATCCCAAACCATCTCAATTGGGTTGAGGTCGGGGGATTCTGGAGGCCAGGTCATCTGATGCAGCTCTCCATCACTCTCCTTCTTGGTCAAATAGCCCTTACACAGCCTGGAGGTGTGTTTTGGGTCATTGTCCTGTTGAAAAACAAATGATAGTCCCACTAAGCGCAAACCAGATGGGATGGCATATTGCTGCAGAATGCTGTGTAAGTGTGCCTTGAATTCTAAATAAATCACTGACAGTGTCACCAGCAAAGCACCATCGCTGTCACGCTCTGGCTCCGGGACTCTGTATGTTGAGCCAGGGTGTGTTCGTTTCTTTGTGTTCTGTTTCTTGGTTGGGTTGTTCTAGGTTGTTGTATTTCTTTGTTTGAGTGACTCCCAATCAGAGGTAACGAGTGTCAGCTGTTGGCTCGTTGTCTCTGATTGGGAGCCATATTTAAACTGTCTGTTTTCACCTTGTGTTTGTGGGTTTTTGTTCCTAGTCAGTCATTGTCACTGTGGACTTCACGAATCGTTATTTGTTTTGTTGTTTCGTGTTTCGCTTTAATTAAATAAAGCATCATGTTCGTGCAACACGCTGCGCTTTGGTCTACTCCTTTCCAAGACGATCGTGACAGAAAAACCCACCAAGACCAGACCAAGCAGCGTGGCCAGGAGTCATCACTAGCAGATCTCCGTGGCAGCCTCGACTGGGTCAAGCCGAGTGAGGAGCAGAAAGGATGGACTTGGGAACAGTTGAGGAAGAACTTCGACTGGGTCAAGCCCATTGAGGAGCTGAAAGGCGGAGAGTGGAAGCAGAGGAGCAAGAGTTGGGCGAGAATTATAGAGGCCTGGCCCACGGGGAGGAGAGACCCCCAGAACATTTTTAGGGGGGGGCTCACGACGTCGGGGCAGCAGGAGGCCGCGATAGAGCGGTCCAGCGGGTTGCCAGAGGAGGCCGCCAGGTTACGGGGGCCACTGGTCGAAGAGGGGATGGAAGGTGGAGAGGCACGGCGAGAGGTACTGGGGTGTGTTACCAGTCCGGTCCGGCCCGTTCCAGATCCCGATGTAGGGCCAGTGGTGTGTGTCCCCAGTACGGTCCGGTCCATTCCTGCTCTCCGCACCAAGCCTACGGTGTGCGTCGCCAGCCCAGCCCGGCCGGTCCCTGTTCCACGCACCAAGCCCACGGGGTGCGTCGCCAGCCCAGCCCGGCCTGTCCCTGCTCCACGCACCAAGCCTACGGGGTGCGTCGCCAGCACAGCCCGGCCGATCCCTGCTCCACGCACCAAGCCCACGGTGTGCGTCGCCAGCCCGGTCCGGCCTGTTCCTGCCACTCGCACCAAACCGTTACTACATGATTCCATATGTGTTATTTCATAGTTTTGATGTCTTCACTATTATTCTACAATGTAGAAAATAGTAAAAATAAAGAAAACCCTGGAATGAGTAGGTGTGTCCAAACTTTTGACTGGTACAGTACGTCTGGGAAAGAGGGAATCCTGTATATTGCTATATATTTATAAAGTTAAGTCTGTATCTCTGCCTCCAGACAGAAGAGTGAGAAGGCCACTCGTCTCAACAGCATCGGTGAGTCTGACAGTCTGTTACTATACTACTGTGTTACTATACTACTGTACTACTGTGTTACTATACTACTGTGTTACTATACTACTATACTACTGTGTTACTATACTACTGTGTTACTATACTACTGTACTACTGTTACTATACTACTGTGTTACTATACTACTGTGTTACTATACTACTGTACTACTGTGTTACTATACTACTGTGTTACTATACTACTGTGTTACTATACTACTGTGTTACTATACTACTGTGTTACTATACTACTGTACTACTGTACTACTGTGTTACTGGGTTACTATACTACTGTACTACTGTGTTACTGTACTACTGTGTTACTATCTTTTACTGTACTACTGTGTTACTATACTACTGTGTATAAAACATACTACTGTACTACTGTTTTTTACTATACTACTGTGTTACTATACTAACTGTACTACTGTACTATATACTACTGTATTACTGGTGACTTTTACTGACTATACTAACTGTGTTACTATATACTGTATACTGTGTTACTATACTACTGTGTTACTTAACTACTGTACTATACTACTGTGTTACTATACAAATTACTACTTGTGTTACTATACTACTGTGTTACTATACTACTGTGACTATACTACTGTACTACTGTGTTACTATACTACTGTGTTACTATATTACTGTATTCCTGTGTTACTATACTACTATACTACTGTGTTACTATACTACTATACTACTGTACTACTGTGTTACTATACTAATGTGTTACTGTACTACTGTGTTACTATACTACTGTGTTACTACTGTGTTACTATACTACTGTGTTACTATACTTACGGTTTTTACTATACTACTGTTATGTACTACCTTTTGTTACTATACTACTGTGTTACTATACTGCTCATACTACTGTTTTACTATACTACTGTTTTTATTTATACTACTGTGTTATATACTACTGTGTTACAAAAACAAACTATTACTACTTTTTACATACTAATGTTTTTATATACTACTGTGTTACTTACTACTGTATTTACTGTACTACTATACTACTGATTACTGTGTTACTATACTACTAGACAACTGGTGTTACTATACTACTGTACTTCGGTGTTACTATACTACT